CAAGCTGTTAAAGATTCTGTAGGTCAAACTATGCACCTTCAATTGAATCTGGGAACAAACTAGGAAGCAGTTAATTGATCTGAGCACTGGTAAGATGTATCCCTCTTACCAAGACCAGTCAGCAATCTGGCTGCTTTGAACTGAGCCGTGTTCGCAGTGCAGTGGCCGCTCTTGGACGTTCTCAAAAAGGATGACAAATGATGAGACTGATTTGCATGGCATTTAAAAAACAGAAACTGTTCATATTAAATCATTATCCTTTAAACTTAAGCAGAATTATAATACATCTCACCTGAGTGGAAAAAGTGATCACAGGGCAATCTGTGGTCTTGCTATCTAGGCACTCCCTGGAAACATGCAACTTTTAAGATTCTTGCTCATCTTCCTTATGGTCTCTTACGTTTAAACTGCAATTTAACATTGAAACAAAAGGCACCTTCAAAGGACAAATTGCCCTCTGACAGCCCTTTAAATAAAAAAAAGAGGACATGTGCCCAACCTCTTTCACAATTAGCACCAGGTAAAGACTCCTTGGAAAAGACCTTGATGTTGGGAAAGTGTGAAGGCAAGAGGAGGGGATGACAGAGGATGAGATGGCTGGACAGTGTCATTGAAGCAACCAACATGAATTTGACACAACTTCGGGAGGCAGTGGAAGATAGGAGGGCCTGGCGTGCTCTGCTCCATGGGGTCATGAAGAGTCGGACATGACTAAACGATGATAAAAGTACATTTGCAGCAATCCAATAGGGGATCTTGGGGAAGAATTACTACAGGTGGCATACAACACTCAAGCTGATAAAAGCTACTGGGAACTGCAGAGGATAATAGCTGGACATCAGCTTCAAAAACTAGATCAAGAACATCCCAGAGTTATTCACCTGTTATTAGAGGGAGTTGGACACTGTCCAGACCCAGCCAAAACCCGGGTTGATCAACCACCAACGCAACACCACTTTAGCCTTACCTGGATTGAGTATATTGGCCATCCTTCAGTCTAGTACTGGTTGCCACAATCTGTTCAGAACATACATCTGGACAAGCTATAAAGAAAGCATGCAATGTTGTTTCACTCTAAATTTGTGGAAAGCCAAGGTAAAAATAATAAAATCATTGATCAAATGGTGGAGAGAAGCAGATGTTATTTTCCTCCATGCAGAATACCAGCAATAAGCTGAAAACAGAGACTCTAGCTATTTTGCCATTGCAGTAATGTAAGTTTCAGTTAAGAACTGCAATGTTAAGTGTCCCTTCCTCACTTCATGGTGCATCATAATTGAAGTGGCAAATAGTAGAGGTCTTTTGGAAATGTATGAGCAGGCTTTGACTTCCTGCATGTTCTCACTGATCAATGAGAATCCTCATAAGAGGCAGGCACATAGTGTATTTTTCCATGTATAAGATGCTACTTTTTCCTAAAATCATTACACTAAAAATTGAAGGGCATATTTTACACAGAAGTAAGCTGAGAGAACAAAACAGCACATACTTTACCTCTGTAAACAGACTTCCTTCAGTCAGGCAGCTTAGCTTTCTACAGTCACGAGCCTTATGGAACTGACGTCAGCTGATGCTGAATAAACCGTCTGGACACACCTCATTGAAGGTGGAGCCTGTCCTAATGTTGGACATTCTGAGCCCAGAGGCTGAATACTCAAAGCTAAGTTTTCTTAATCTGGGGGTTAGAAAAGTGGGGGCATCTCATAAACTGAAAAATACAGCATTTTTCCTCCCACCTGTTTCATCCACCTTCAAGCTTCTTTTAATCTTCCTTGGGGTGACCATGAAATAAAAAAGCAACCACCATCCATAGAACATGTCTTTATTAAATAAGCAAGCAAGCACAGAAGTTTAATGTGTAGTGCTTAGATATTCTTAAAGGTACTAAAAATATAAAAATAAAGTTTACTGAAAGCAGTTTCACTCACAAATATACAAGAATTGCTGCCGGACCACACAATTCAACACCATCTGCTAACAGCTGCACTGACAGACAACTGCCTTGCTCTACCCAATAGAAATGATACCTGTTGCACATTCTTGCTTAGATATATTTCTTTGAGCCATATTAAAGTAGGGCACATCACCCAGAGACCCATTTCCTCTTTTTAGCAATCCTAAAACAATAAAAGGGGATACAAATGGCTGGCTGTATCCTGCTGCTCCTTCAGCTCCACCACTACTAGCTAGAATCTGCGACAGCCTGAAGCCTCCTGCTGCATATTTTCATTTCCAGTGGAGTACCTATGAATTGCTTGTTGTAGCAAGAGCAGGTCTTTGTGCATCTTGAAGATTCACACATTTGTTGGAACATAAACTGCCACCTGGCTGTACTGGGGAAAGTTTCTCAAGGAGAAACAAACACCAGGGGTGACCATGTTTTGGTTACAAGGAAGAAAAATAAAATCCACATCATAACTATCACAAAATGGATTGGGAATTTCCCTTAATAAGGTTAATCTGTTTATACCTTGTGTCTTACTATATTGTTAGCCTGTTTCCCCGAAAATAAGACCTAACCTGAAAATAAGCCCTAGTATGATTTTTCCTACCCCCAAAATAAGCCCTAGTTAAGTAAAACCCCGCCCTCCACCCTTGTGCAGCAACCAGAAGAAGATGGCATGACTGTAAAATAAAACATCCCCTGAAAATAAGCCCTAATGCATTTTTTGATCAAAAATTAATGTAAGACCCCGTCTTCGGGGAAACACGGTATTATTGTTTCAGATGTGTCTGAACTTTTTGTACAGTTAAAGTAGCCGATGAAAGGAAGCCTACCTTTTGCCATACACAGGAATAAAGGTTTATTGAAGATCACATGCAATAATTTTGAGTCAGTGTAAGTCATGTAGGCAGAGGGTGATTGTGCCGCAAGAGAATGATCGGGAAACAGACAGTGGGAGAGCTGATTTCACCACTACACCAAGAATCTGCAGGTTACAATTTGGCATACCTATTCCCACCCATGCCTGTTGGAGCAAGCAGGACACACACATTCCCCAAAGCATCTGGCCAAAGAGGCTAGGCAATAAAAGCTGGAGGACAAATGTTTCAGGACTAAAATAGGGCTATATAGTAACAATTTCTGCCTCTACTGAGTTGCTTGTGGCTTTCTAATGCTTTAATAAAGTAGAAAAAACAAAACATTGATTCTCCTATTAAAAGGCAAACGGCTGAAGGTTATACACAGATATATAATAAGCACATACCATGATTGTAATTCAGATGGTACCTTTTGAGTTGTGTTCTGTATGCTGTTGTCTTGAATTTCTATCAGAGGGAATGCCAAGGCATATTTGCTTGAAGATGCTACAGCATACATATATACCAACTACACAGTTCTTACAGAGATGGTCTTCAGATATAGAGTTTGAATAGAAAGTAAAGAGCAATTCCACAGGGGTTAAGCTCTCCCTATACCAGAAATTTTACATGTAACGAAGACAGAACCCTTCCAACTGGACCAGTCCCATTTCAACTGGGAAGTGTCTCTGAAATGCAGTGTGTCCTTAAAGGGGTGAGGCTAGGCCCATGTGTGCCCATAGCTTCATTTTACTTGGTAATCACAGGAGCTGTATTATCATCATCATGGGGATTGCCAGCAGAAGGAAGGAGACTCCTCCTGGTTAGCTACAGCCTAGAAAAGTTGTGCTGTTTGGGTTTTATTAGTTTCAGACAATAAAGGTTTAGTAGCTTGCCAGCCCAATTGTGGAACTAAGTCTGTGTTGATTCTCATAGGACAACCTACACATCATTATTATTTCTTCCAGAGATGTGATGTCCACAAGACTTTTATAGTGCTTATAATTGGTTCACACCACAGTGCTAATTTACACACTGAAAAAATGGGTGTTATGGGTTTAACGTGATACACCTTCAACCTGGTTTGTACTGAAGAAACAAACATAGATATGAGAATGAATGGATGTTCTAGCTCCTAAGAAATCTTCAATCAGAAAAAGTGATTATTTGAGGAAACAATTCTAGCCTAGCTCTGTCTTCTTGGCATGACAGTTCCCCCTCCCCAACTGACAAGGTATTTGCACATGCTTCTTAAATGTAAAGGTGACTTCAGGCATATCCCAGGCCCCCAATTGTAGTCTGAAGTGGGGCAGTCCAGATTCATATTTTATTACCTTAGTGAAGTTGACATGTCACTCATAATTCAAATGTTTATTGACATTTGTTGTTCAATTGACATTTATGTATGAAATCCTACAACTTAAAATAAATGCTGGCTGCATTAAAGGGCTTTGATTGGGAAGTGGAACAAGAACATTTTTAATTTGTCCTATTTAATTAGAGGACCTGGCACCATTAGTCTTTGAAACAGAATACTTTTGTTTAGCCCCTGGTTTCACAGCTTTGTGAGCAGCAAAAGCCAAGGCAAACCCAATGCAGGAAAACATCACTCTCTCATATAAGGAAGTGACCATTTCGGAACTGCTTTCATAGTTCCCACTTTAACAGGGCTTGATATGCAGCAATTAGCATATAATGATGTTTAGCTTCATGTCACCTGTTGGTTCCTGAATATCACACCTAAGTTAAAAGCACAGGCCCAGATAAAACTATTTTTTCTAGGGATAGCTGAGAACCTTTGTCACAGCTGGAGATTCTACAGGTGCTTTCTCAAATCATAGAATAGTAAAGTTGGAAGCAGCCTATGATGCCATCAAACAGCTGAGAACCTTTGTCACAGCTGGAGGTTCTACAGGTGCTTTCTCGAATCATAGAATAGTGAAGTTGGAAGCAGCCTATGATGCCATCAAATACAGCCCCCTGCTTGATGCAGGAATACAAATCAGAAGATATCTGCCAGGTGGTTGTCTAAGTAACTGGTTCCACTGGAAGGGTTCAGCAATATCAGACACATTTATATTTTTCACCGTTCTACAACAGCATCTGTCCCATATAAAAAAATCTGTCCCTCCCTTTCCTATTTTTCCTTTTTAAGAGATGTTCATATATATGCCATTAAGTGTATGCCCACCCATGTGTTCTTTTCAAGAGATGTTCATATATGACTTTTTAAAATGCCATTAAGTGTATGCCCACCCATGTGTGCTAGACTTGAGTTTTGTTGCCTCCTTCTTGCTGTTTCGAGGAATTAAATCTCTAAAACTTCCATCTTATAGTACCTTCCTGTAAGTTATCCCACTGAACCAACAGGTGATTATTTCCACATAAACGAGCACCCAATTGTATTGGGAGTGGGGCGCATGTGCATACACTGACCATTGTAAATGCACAAAAATGCACATGACCCTAATTATATATCTAGCATAGAGATGTTGCTGAACCAAGAGGCAAGCGAATATTGCACAGTGAAGTTCAATTGATTGTGTGTCTAGCCATTAAGTTGCTCAGTTTTCTTTTGTTCAATGGAAGATAATCCATTCACTAACATGCCCTGCTTCAGAAGCCACTGCAGAAGAATGGCAGCACAAGTGACTGACTGCCAAATACAATAGGCTGGACGCAGCCTTCAGCAAAGTATGATGGATGTGAAAGGAGGAGCGTGTGTATTGTGCATCAGAGCAAGAGATATCCAGCTGATGCTCCCTAGGTTAATAATCTTGACTGCAACAAACTCATTTATGTGCCATTGGTTTTCATTCCCTCCAGAATAATGTCATTAATACATTTAAGGAAAATGACATTTCATCTTTTATATGTTAGAATGTGGGGATAAAGCAGTAAAAGTGATCACAACAGCTTAAACCCTAAGGCAATGTTTTCAGCCTGCAATCTATTGCCCCCCACATGAATGTCTGCCTAGTTCACTTAACTGTTCTTAGGTATCCATTGAAAACCTTCTGTAAACAATTTAAAATAAATCATCAATGTTGGTCTGGAAAGGTAAACATCCCTAACTGCATATATAATACATACTTTACATGGCAAGAATGCATTCATAGCAGCCAAGTATTCAGCCAAGGAGAATTACATTATTTTTTACAGTCTGCTTAGATTCTCTATGGGCACAATGCACTGGGAAATTATCCTCTACAAGCCTTATGAACAAGAACTGTACAAATGTTGGAGCAACTGTTTGATATAGCTCTTCAACCACCATAGGCTAAAGCAGCTGAAAACTGCAGTCTAACAGCATCTGAAGGACTACGGTTGCCCACCTCTGCTTCATATCCTGACAGCAATCTTTCCAGAAGCATCTCTTTAACCACACCTGCTAGAACAATGCTGAACCAGTCAGACCTCTGGCCAATCTGGCAGGACTCCTCTGAGGTTTACAATCCCAATGCATGGTGCCCTTTGGGTTCTTTTTTTCTTTTTAATATTGATACACGCAACAGGTACAGTGTTTTGTCCAATAAGTAATAAATGAATGAATGCAGAAAGCACTTCTAGCTAAGATCTAGCTAGCATTTCTGTTTTCTTTTTCTACAAACATGCATTTTTTGTTTTTGTTTTTTATAAATAAAAATCAAATGTGAGGTCACACTTTCCCATCTTCTGCTTGTAAACTAAATCAAATTTCTCATTCATGGAAACAGTGAAGATGTCTTTCCATAGCCCAACTCTTCCTGAAAAAAAAAAAAGGAGAGAGAGATAGAGAGAGAGAGAGAGAGAGGAAACAAAAGTTAGGCTGATAATCATTATTCTGATATAGCACAACTGTGTTTTGCTACCGACAATGGTTAAGTCCCCTCTTGCTAAGTATTGTAAAATCCCATGCAAATCTCTGGCCTATCTTTGAGCAACTGTAATTCTTCAGAGTAGAAAAATCTCTAATGTTGTAAGAGCCAAAGGGTGTCTAGAGGAAGGCCTGTATTGCAGATATGTTAGGAGATGCAACACGTTTCTGGCTCTGTATGCAGACACACAGTAGCCCCTCCACGGCTTTCTTGTAAGAGGAAACTCAGCTACCTAGTGTTAAGCAATAGTCAGTGGTTTGTTTCCCAGCTGCAGCACAAGTTCTGAGTGCAACACTTTCTCCAGTTGCAGTGCTTTATTACATGGTGCACTTAGGGCCATCAACAGAATGGGCAGCCCCAGTGTCTCAGAAGATGGCCACCAAATAGATCAATAACCTGTCCCTTTGAGCTCAAATGGAGCCAAAGAGGTTTAGCTCAATCCCCATCAGTCTCTATATGCCCCCAACCCCCCTTGCGTTGTGTAAACAAATATACAGAAATAAATACATTTGGATTCTACTCCTCAATGAAAAGGCATGTGCTGGACAAACTGTTGCGAGAGACAAAACTCTGAACACCCCATCTGGCTGCCCTGAAGCCCATGGAGATACATAAAAGAGCTTTCTGATCTGTGGCCTTTGTCCGGAGGAATTATAATATTAAGTCTACTATTTTCAGTTCTTCCTAATAATATTTTAGGGACATTCTATGAATTAACTGCACTTTTGCTGATGAAGAGTTGACATAGTATTGTAAGTAAACATCTCTGGTTGAAATCTGAACAACCTTCAGCTCAGTGGCAAGCCACCATCACCTGAACTTCTTCTATCTACATGATGGAGATAATAATGTGGTGTGATATTACAGGGCTATCATAATAATTAAGTCTCACGATGTGACCTTTAGCCTCTTTCACAGGGTATCCCAGGGAGAGTCAGATCTTGGAAAGACTGGCCAGAATAAAAAGGGACAATGTATTTTTGATTGCCTAGAGAGATTTTCCCATTCATTCTGCCTCACCATGTCCATTGAGGTCCACACTTGCAGGAAAATCCATGAATCTGAAAATGGAAGCCCTGTTGAATGCATCTGGGTAAGAATAAAAGGAGAGAGAAACAAAATGATACTGTTTTGGGTATATACTACAAACTGCCCAGCCAACTGGCAGATAAGGATGAAACTTTCCTAAAACAGATTACAAAACTTTTGCAAAGGTGAGCCAAAGTAGCTAAAACTTGAGTCATTTCACAAACCATTGAACTACCCCTAATGTTGGCTGCAAGTCTGCTAAGAATGGAATGCTCAATACATTTTTATCTTCCTGACAATGTCACCTTGCAGACTGTGGAAATAGGGGGGGAAAGGGATTTGTTACCCTACATGCAGCAGGAGCAGCTTATGGACCAAGTACCCAAAAAAGGGATTTGTTACCCTACATGCAGGAGCAGCTTATGGACCAAGTACCCAAAAAAGCCCTAAATTTAAAAAAAATTGGAGTAAGATACTCAAATATCCTCTTAGACTATGGCCTGATTATGCCTGGATGTAATCCTGGCTAACAGAAGACAACTGTTTTGTTGTGATGGGTACCTTGGGAGAAAGTCACCATGTCATCTAGGAGATCATGATTGCAAAAGATGTGAAAACCAACCTAGCCAATTTATGTACTCTAAAGATTGGGTAGCTTCCCATGCCAGAAATAACAATGGAGAAAATGGGTCAAAAAAGACAGGAGACTCTGAACATGAAATGCTGAAGGCACAGTCAAAAACTAATCCCCTGAGGAAGAAATGTAAGAGACATCTAAAGAAGCAGATGTGGCTGAACAGGGAGCTCTCTGGTGAGTAGAATCTTCCAAAAATGACATATAGGAGACAGAAGGAGGGGCAGATAACTAAGGATGCATTCAACAGAGTAGCCAGAACATGTAAGGCAGTGATCAGGAAGGCAAAAATCACAGAATGAGCTGAAGGCTCGGAAAAGATGATAAATAGAACAAAACAAGCTTCTTCAGCAATGCTCACAGTGCAGAAGAACAACATTAAAGATCTGCAGCTTTCTATAGAAGGCAAAATAGCAGGGTATACTATGAAAGATCAATGACTAGATAACAGCATGGGTTTAGCAAGTTATGCCAATGCAACCTTTTCTCTTCTTTTCACATGGTTACTAAGGTGGTATATGGTGGGTATGCTATAAACATGGTGTGTCTTGATTTCAGGAAAGCACTCACAAACTGTCCCATGATGTACAAGGAAAAGCATATATAAAAATAGTGGCTCAAAAATACTATTGGATCCATAGATGGTTGAACAATTGTGCAAACAATTGCTCATGAATGGCTTGGTATCAACTCAGAGGACGATCCTGATTGGAATGCAACAGCGGATTGTCCTTGGGACCATGCTGTTCAACATGTCTTTAAATAATCTGCATGAGACTATACAGGGGATACATATAAAATCCATAAATAACAAGAAACTAGAGGGCTTTTTAATATCTCAGAAATCAGACTCAAACAGCCTTCACATGGTGGAACACTAGGCAACAGCTAATAAAACAAGATTCAGCAGAAATGAAATTAAAAGCCCACTCTTAAGGATTTAAGTGTCTCAGTGCATCACAAACTGAAAATCAGCAGTGTAATGTGGCTGCTAACAAAAGCTGATGGCATTACTAGGAAAATAGTGTTCAGGTCACAGGATGTTTTTTTATCTGTTCTGTGTTAAGCAGGCTACAGAACAGCTGGATAGCTCAGTGGTTTAGGTCTCTGGCTGAGGAGCCAGATGTTCGAGTTTGATTCCCTTCTGTGACTCCTTGACAGAGGCTGGACTCATTGATCTATAGGGTCCCTTCCAGCTCTGCAGTTCTAAGATTATTAGATTTGTGTATTGTGCAATTCTAGATGGCACATTTTAAGAGAGAGACTGGCAAACTACAGTATAGCAGAGCCACAGAATGATAAACAAAATGATGTTGAGTTGAGAAACCAAGTCCTATGAGAAGAATTTATGTGTTGGGTATGGCTAACATGGGGAGGAGCTGGCAAAGTAAGCATGATAGTTATCTTCAAATGTCTGAAGGGCTACCATGCAGAAGATGGAAAAGACATAGGTACAATTTCCACTCATCATCCAAGCATTATCCCAAGCCCCCATCATATACTTCCTCTAACCTCTGAGATTCCTGATGTTCAGCCAAGTGCCAAACCTTCCACCCACCACATCCCATGATTCAAGCCTCTGGCAATGAAGATAGCCAGGGAAAAGGCTAGAATTGCCAGATATTGGAACATTTCAAGAGCATAAAACCACATGTACTACACACACACAAAAGCTGGAGGCTTATAAGCTAGGTCAGGGCTAGAGATGGACCTGCACTGTTACCTGTCTTCCTAAAGCTTCGGTGATAACTGCGGTCCAGTTTGATAGGCTAAAAGCAATGTCACTCCAAGACACAGTGAGGTTCATATGTCTAATGTATATGCAGAGGGAGGCACTGTATCTTCCTTTTGGATTGAGTTATGACATGTAAGCAAAAATAATAAAACCAAATATATTGGCTGCCTCCATACTACATAAATGCTAAGTATGAATCTCTCTCTCTAACTGGCAACCAATTTTTACCTACGTTCATGGAGAGTCAGTCAAAGAGCTACCCACCTGGGTTCACGATTTGATTTGTGAAACTGTGACTTGTGATAGGACATAGAGCAAATATAAGGAACATTAGCTAACCAATGGCCTGATATTCACAGCAACTTGAAGGTTATCTTCTGAGTAACGATCAATGAACTAAAAAGGGGAAAAATTAAACAAAACCAACATAAAGCAAAATAATAAGGAAAATGTAACGGATGACAAATTAAACATAGCATTGGACTAATTTCAGGATATTGGCTACAACATTTTGAATCACAAAACTAAACTTTTAAAACACAAGGTACATTTTGGGCAGGAAAGAAAATTACTATGAATGCCAGAAAGCAAAATAAAAGAATTTAAAATATGTGGGTAAAAAGCAGACAATGAACAAGTCAAAGAATGTCTACAACACTTAAAGTTAATGTTGGAAGAGGACTGTTCAGGATGAATACTCAGCACCCAGCACAAAAGGGCAATTGATCTCAGCCAATTAAATGGAGCAAGGAGAACAAAAGGACCAGACAGGAGTACAGAGGTAGATCATTTTGCCCTTCAGATCCCTTTGCCTGGAGACAGTCAAAGGAGACAGGAGATGCTGTACCTACCCTGCACACACTCACCATACAGTAAGACCCCTGTATCCTTGGGGGATCAGTTCCAGACCCCACCCCCACAGATGCTGATATGTATGGATTATACCAAATGCTATTTTACTAGAAAATGCTATACATGGCATGGTTTCTGGCTCCCTCTAATGGCCTGATGATAACATACTGGAAATATATTTCTCTAGCTAATGTTATACACAGCATGATCTCCGACTCCCTCTAGTGGCCTAACCTGGTAACTTCAGCTTTAGAAATATATGTATTTCTAGTTTTTTTTTCCTTTTAATATTTTTAAAGGTTTTAAGCCATGAATAAGTGAATCAGCAGATACTGGCCCTGCAAATAAGGGGGTCCTACTGTATTTTCATTTCAAACAAATATGCTTTTGCCAGTGATTTGTGGAACCAAGCAAATAAATACAAAATTTGTCGTGGCAATGTCACCTAGCAACACTGCCAGTACAATGTATTGGAACACAGAACTGCCCCATGACAGAGAAAGCAGAGGATGGAGGGTCTAATTTTGAAGGCAAAAA